CTCTTGTGAACACACGTTTCTAAGCAATTATAGGCTACTTTTGATGAAAGGAGTAAAAAATCCCCCAGACTTCCACTGAAGGAGGGAGCTGAGTCATATAGACCACAGGACTGTTTGACTTGAGAAACTTCCTAGTAACCGCATAGCAAGACGTCAACAACCACTCACAACACCGTCCTTCACAACATCAGGGCCCGCCCACTTTTTCAGCGGCGTTGCTATTTTTCTCATTCATTTTTGCCATAGGGATTTTTTAAAAAGTCTGTTAAAGCATTATAAGCCATGAACCAAACCAACCAGCTACAAGGTGCATCACAACATGACAAACTTTGATTTGAAGCAGTGTTTGAGAAAAAAAAAAGACAAAGATACAAAACTATGTTCCTAACAGCTTTAGTAACAGAAAGAACTACAATCCCATGAAGCATTGCGAATGACATAGTCAAGTTAAAAACTACTGAGAAATATAAAACTATTCATTTAACGTTAATTATATTTATAGAAACAAAGTTCAAGTTTATTGTAAAATATGCACATATGTGACCCTGGAGCACAAAACCAGTCATAAGGGTAAATTTTTTTAAATTGAGATTAACACACCAACTCAAAGCTGTATAAATAATCTTTCCATTGATGTATGGTTTGTTAGGATAGGACAATATTTGGCCGAGATACAACTATTTGAAAATCTGGAATCTGAGGGTGCAAAAAAATCTAAATATTGAGAAAATCATCTTTAAAGTTGTTCAAATTAAGTTCTTAGCAATGCATATTACTAATCAAAAATTAAGTTTTGATATATTTACAGTAGGAAATTTACAACTATCTTCATGGAACATGATCTTTACTTAATATCCAAATGATTTTTGGCATAAAATAAAAATCGATCATTTTGACCCATACAATGTATTGTTGGCTATTGCTACAAATATACCCCAGCGACTTAAGACTGCTTTTGTGCTCCAGGGACACATATATACAAATATTTAAGTATTTTGACAGCATAGCAATTTTTGGTGCGATTTGCTCACCGCGACTCTCTGGTTGGTGGAATTTTCTGTACATCATCATGGGTAATGTAGTGTTTCACCATGAATTCAGTTAAACATGATTCTTTTGAAAATAAGCATATACCACTGATTAACCCAACTGTTGCATTCTATTGTGTCCGTGAGTTTTGCACCACAACATTTCCTTTAGAAACGTGTTTATTCAAGTGAATTTACATAATTACATCTCTGGCACATCAACATCACTTTAAGGCCAATTCACACCACACAGACAAACTGAAGAAGACAGAAGTGGCCTTTACACACCCCGGGGAATCACAGCTGGATCAACAGACCCAAGTGATGGACGAGTCCAGGGGCCGGTTGCATAAACTGCTTAGACTAGTCTTAAAAAGTTAGTAATTTTTAATTTAGTTAGTAAACTTTTTTAATTCAATTATTGGTCTAATTTGAATCTCAGAAGTATGACCAACTACCCCTTGTCTACTGCTAATTGGTGAAACCAGTTCTTAAAACCCAGGCTTAAAATAGTGCACCTGGCCCCAGGTGGGGCTGTCAGATTCCCAGCACAGAGGTTTTGCTTAGTAATGGTGAGGTGGTTTGTTTGACAGCGATTGGCACGTGAAGTCATTCAATGACGGGCCAAGAACTCAAAACTAATCAACAGCAGCGCATCCAGCCGGCTCAGTGTTTGTAAAGCAAATATTTGGGAGTCAAATGTCCATCACTGGCCTTGTGTAAATGGGTTTGTTGTGTTTAGTAATTAAAATTGGCCGGTGAGGGTGTGTTACGGGATGCTTTCTGCTGATGATACGTCTGTTTAGGCAGCTGAACCAACACCAGTGTGTCTGTATAATAGCATGACAGCATATTTCCCTGCAGAGTCAATCAATTAAATCATCGGTTTCCAACTCTAGTCCACGAGGATCCTGTGTCATAGTTCCAGATCTGTAGAGACCAACCAAATTTTACCACAACACAACTGCATTAGAGCATGCTGTCGACTACCATTATTTCTTAGTATATTTTACATATACCACATTTTACATGGACGATTGGAATATGACTTCGGACAGACACTGTTGAGAAGCGATTGTATCGTAGTAGTCTCATGGAAACCATGCTTTGTGGTTTGTATTTTAACATTTAATTTTAATGATCAATGATTATTTGTTTAAAAAAAACGAGTCAAAGTTATTTTCTGTGGTCATCGACAGCGTGCCATAGATTCAGCGTTGTGTAAAGTTCAGTTCAGATGTTTTCATGATAATAACGTTTTTTAAACGCAAACTTTCAAAGTTACGATTTGTTGAACTCTGACCTGCGAATTAATTTCACGAAGATTGATGTGTCGTAACATCTGAATTAAAATAATATGTACATCTGCAGGTTTGTAGTGTTGCAGTAAAGTGTAGTAAATTTAATATGCATTTTGGATGCATTATATTTAGAATTATGTTTAAAAAAAAAGAGGATGGCGTCATATTGCTACCATTGCAGTAATTTCACTCAAAGTGTGACTGCGACCCTAGTTTAAGATTAACAGCACTACACAGATTGAACAGATCTCTTATTGAACTCTCCTGTAATTGAATCAGACAATGCCAGTGCTTCGTATCAGGTGGTGGTTGAAGTGATCATGTTGATAAAACACACACAGATCAATTACTTTAAACATATCATGAAACCACAGGAGATGAATGGAAAGTTTGGGCAGCATTAACTCCCTGTGAACTGATGAAAGACGTGCTTTATGGATCATTGGATGTGGGAAAACATGTTAAACACACCTGAACATCTAACAGCAGATGTCCTCCTCACACACCCGATCATGTAGATGGAACATTAGGGGGGTGATTTTTGCATTGCTGTCGCGTTCATTTGGGTATTAAAATCAGACTCAGTGTGACTCAGAGCGACTGTGAATTCATTTTAGAGCTTCACAAATGTTTTATAGATCATATTATGCTTTTAAATGGAAACCATTTGAGCCAAATGGCAGGTGTTTTAATTCAGAGCTGAATTTGAACAGATTCCCATTGCATCTTCAAGGATGGTTTATTAGTAATAACCACAACATCAGTTTTTATCATGCTGAGAGCTTGTGAATGGGGGCACTTAAGGAAGATTTTTGATGATTTTCATAATTGTTTTGCACTATACATTTTGCTGATAGCCTGTAATATCCAGTTTAAAGTTCTCACTGTGACAACATTCCCTACTATTGAGGGACGTCTGACTTTTCAGAAATGAATTATTTGCTGGAGTAAACTGTGACAACTAGCCCCGGTCTCCTCTGCTTGTATTTGTCACTTCTGGAGCCTGACTGACTCTAATTAGGTTAAAGGTAAGAGCAGAAGTTTGTTATGCTGGTCTTTAGCTGATGCTTTATTAGTCACATCTTCCACACATGCTTCCAGTGGACACACACACTCACCAGTACTGATGTCTCGCGCTAGTGTGCCATCTTTAAGGCTTTCTATTTCGGGAATGTTCCAATTTAAGATGAAAACTCAACATGTGCAGCCCGACAAAGCGAAAACTTTGGGTAAATGTTTCATAGCAGATGGACAGAAAGGGCTGACGAAAGGAAAACACATGGACTCTTGAACTGTGGTTCATCATACAATC